ATGCTCGCAATCAAACACGCTTTACTTTCTTACTTCCATAAAAAAGCCATAAGGGGATGTTAACAGAACATGTACAGTAAATTTAGTAGCATAATATTTTCCTTTGTGTTACGTATTGTAGTTTCCGTATAACAGTCACTATATTGCTACAATCAATCTCAACGAAAGATATTTCATGGCCTCGAACCGTGCAAAATTTCCATGCAGTCACCCACCGGTGGCTCTATAAAAATTACAAAATAAAATGTGTTTTTGATGTGTAAAATATGGATAATCATTTGACAAAATTTGACTTCATTTGATCTATTTTGATTGAGAATAAAGCCCCCTATCCCGGCTTGGGAACAGGGTTGAAGACAGACAGGGGCGCCACATGGCGCCCTTGGCCGGCGCCCCTCCAATAGAGGGACGCCGGACAGGGAGCATGGTTGTTTTATTGATAATCAATTTCCTTGATCATCTTTCGTCAACGTTATGAGCCTAAAACAACCAAAATTTGAATGTCCTTACTGCGTATTTTTCCATTCTTCCTCACCAGATTTCTGTCATTAATAAAAAAGTTGAGGCTGCAAGTTTTCCACACAACTCTCTATAATTCTGTATCATTATACAACTTCACTGCAATCACTATCAAGTCTCGTAATTTCAAAATTATTACCATTTTCACTCTTCCCCTGTTCGGTATTCACATTACACCACCTAGAAAAAATATTTTCAACCTATACATCGATATTTTCTTCTGTACTAAAGCAATATATCTAATGACTAGTTCATCATTATTTTCATCCAAGAAAAATATTTTGAGTATTTTTTTTTTTTGGCCGTTTTCAGAGATCCAATTGAAGGCATATCTGGGTTATAGCTTTTGATAAGGACGAATTAAATATGTTTTTCCTAAATTATTAAGGATATAAGCCTATAAGGTTTTGAAATTTATTTTGCTTGTTCTGATTGATTTGACCCACTTAAAAAAATGAGTCTTGGAGGTTCGTCCACGCGAGGAAAGAAAATCCTAGATACATAGGTTGTTTAAAAGTCTAAAGATCTAAGTCATTTACGTTTAAATGAAATTTAATCCAAAAAATTAATAAATAACTGAGTTGTAGCACAATGATCATCATATAATTCTCAAATATTATAACTTAGGTCCGAGTTATCATGCAAATATTTTTATAAAAAAATTATAAGAATTATTTTTTGAGTAAAAAACTCTTCAAATTCTCACTTTAAGGCTAATTAAACAAGTGGAAAGTCACGTTTTACCCCATGTCTCCTCAAATTCAAAATTCATTTTTCTTCATCTCAAATTGTGATAATTTTAACTTATTTGCAATGAAGAAAAACAAGAACTTTGTTGCTACAAGTTTGGTTATTAAAGGCAAAGGATTTTCTATTTTCATATCAAGCGTAGAGATTGGTGGCGCAAGTTGATTTTTCTTACGAATGTTTATGTATGTTTTACATGTATAAATATAATTGTAAGGTAAGAAATGTAAAGCTAAAATTTTAGGGCCATAACCGGTTTTTACAATCCGAAGTGATTCTTTGGAATAAAAAATTTCACTGATAACTCAAATACATGGAAATATTTATTCTATGAAGTTTTATGTTTTACATATGAATATACTATTTGTTCAAAGGGGTTGCATCTAAGAAATACTCTCTTTGAAAATTTTCAGATTGAGAAAGGATTGTGTATGGATGGAGATTGCAAAGATTGTGGAGAAGCCGGGAGGAGAAAATCAAATCAAAGATCAAGGTTCCCATGCACAGGATGTACTATCACTAAGATAATGAATTTACACGATCATTTATGAGTTTGTACTTCATTTGAGCATGAAATTAGATTTTCATATAACGCTATGAATTGATGTTTATTAATTTATGTTAGTATGATATGTTAGCATAAGTTTTGACAGAAATGTGATTGGATGTGTGAATTTGAACATGTAAACACTTAAAAAAGTAAAAATTTTAGCATTCTGTTTGATTTTCAAACTATCATCCAAATCGAATTCTACAAGATTTTGAATGAGGTCAATGGGCTTTAAAAGTCCTATGAATCCTTTATCCGTTGACTATAGAATCAAGTCATTTGGAGGTTGATAAGACAAAATTATGCTCTTTTTCATATGTTGTATTCATCGTATTCGTTTAGCATATGATTATGTGTCCTATTGTGTGCCCAGATGATGTTGAAATTTTACCACGTTGTACTTCAATGAGTTCAGAAAAATACTATAAAAATTTCATAGAACTCAACACTTTGTTGCCACCAATTTTCTCACCCACAAAGGATGATGGTGGTGATGTTTGCAGCCACTAAGGAAGCAAAAAAAGAAAGAGTAACTATGGTAATCACTCAACCCGGAAAACGGCTCCCTCACTATGTAATTGGGCCAAGAATATTAATCAATTTGGGCCAACACAAATGACCAAACGGGATACTTAAAACCACTTGGGCCAAAACACACGTATCCACCAACAACAAATTCAACTCCAACTTGGGCTATCCAAAAGTGTTGGACCACGAGCAACCTTAATTAATTAAGTTGCTTAAAGTGACCCATGTTGCTGCTGAGTTAAACTATCACTAAAGTGTCGATATAAATTTATCCAACATCGTTTTTATATCATTGTTCGGCTTTCTTAGGTATCAAAAACCCAACATTGATGATTTTTAATTTTTTTAGCGTTCAATTTTTTTGTTAGACGTAGATTTTCAACGTTTTGAAAACGATATCTATATTTTTTCATTAAGTTTGAAATGAGATTATTTTGACCAATGATGATTAGATAGTATTCATGTTGATTTATAATTTGTTAAACATTTTTCTTCTTTAATGAAATGTGAAGCCCTTTACCTAAATTTAATTTATATGTCACCCTCATTAATAATTATTTATATAGCCTACTTCAAATGGAAGATGTTACGAGTACCAAATGGTTTACTGAATTGACAGGTGGCGGCCCTCTATTGGAGGGGCGGTTGTCCCCACAGCCACCCCTCCAATAGGGGGCCGCTATTTGTCAATTCGGTAAACTATTGGGTAAACTATTTGGTACAAATAGATTCATCCACTTCAAATACAAGTATGAGGATTCTCTCCTCTATTTCAAGTGTGTGTCACGATGGAAAACAAATTTACAAATGTTTTCATCATTTACCTATGATCTTTATTCTTTACAAATATGTCACGATGGAAAACAAATTTACAAATTAGTGACCCAGTTATACCCCAAATTAATTAGAAGTTTGAAAGTAATGATTGTACTTAATAGTTGTTCCCAGTCGCCCTGTTTTCTTTTCATGGGGATTTTAGCTTTCCATCTCATTCACTATCCTGTTTATATATATATTTTTTATTTTTTCTTTGTAAAATTTAGGATAATTTTAGAATTATGTTAATGGACTTAGATAATCAATTCAATTCCGGACATAAAAAAGCTGAATTAAGATGATTTGAAATAACTAAGTCCCTGTTTGATTTCCTTTATTTTACTTTAATTTATTTCTCATACTTATTTTCAACTACACAAAATATCCTACACGTAAACTCAACATTTTTTTCATACATTTTAACCACACATCCTCCAAGCAATACTATTCAAATCACAGTGATTTTTTATTTTTTATTTTCGGGTTGGGTTGTGGGGGGGGGGGGGGCCGGG